TATAATGTAATAAGAGTTGCTTGTTCCATATTCAATGTTAAAGCAAAATTTGTTTGGTTCCAGATTAAAAGGTTAATTTGTTCAGTCTTGGCCCACGGCTTTGTTCAGGTTTTAAACTTTGGCCGACTGAGTTTTGGAGTTTGACCCCCTTGTCTAAAGTCTGATTTAGCCCTTTATTTTAGAGACCTCCCGTTCTTTAACGCTGAAATATCTCCTGTCCAGATTCCCTGCCCCCCTCCAGTGACCTGGGCAGCTCGGCGCCGCCCTACGGTAACTATGGTTACCATGGCGTGGCGACGCCCTACCAAACGGGCCCCGCCCCCCTCTGTGACTCCTCCCCCTCCCACGACGCCTACGGCCAGCCCGGGTACCAGCAGTACGCCCAGGTCAGCCTCCTCAATATAAGGGGTTTCCTGTTTGTTTTTACCTGTTCCAGACAGGGTTTTAGAGACAGATTAATTTTTTTAATTTGTATTTATTTATTTATTTATTCTTTAAATTTATGTATGTATTTATTTTTTACATTTTATTTTGTTTATTTATTTAATTTATTTTATTTTACCTATTTTATTTATTGTATTTATTTATTGTAAATAAATTGTATTTATTTATTTATTTATTTATTTTATTTTATTTTATTTATTCTATTCAATTTAGAAACTGTGAATCCGTCTCATACTGCCTCAGAAAGCTAGCTATGTTTCAGGTTGACAAGACTTAAGACAACTACTGAGTTAAAGGTAGAAAAGCCTAAATTAAAGGAGCAGAGTTTGTTCTTTTAACCAAAAGAAATTAGCAAAGGGTTAGGTTTAGGGTTAGGGTTAGGGTCATGAATGTGGGCCACCATAACATCAGTAACAGGTCAGTTTGAAACCAAACTTTTGGGGTCTTTGTTTTTATCCTTGTGGTATAAAAATGGTATCGAGTATGGAATATTTTCCTGAATATCGGTATGGAGTTGAACATCTTAGTATGGTGACAACCCTAATTTTACTAAACAAAACCAGCCCATACTGTGACAGATACAGTGGGGGAAATAAGTATTTGAGCCCTTGCTGATTTTGCAGGTTTGCCCACTTACAAAGAATGC